GACTTAAGACTGCTTTTGTGCTCCAGGGTCACAGATGTCATAAGCTTGCTCATGTACTGCTGGTTATGAGGGACACTAATGGTTATGTTATACTGGTTTAAAGGGGAAACACGATGAATGAAACTTACTTGACAACAACAGTTGTTATATCAGTGTCCTAACGAATAGAATACCCTTAAATAACATGCTAAACCTCAAGCTTTTCTCCTGATTTTGCCATCTGCACATGAAGCGTGTTCAAACCCGCTCACACAAGCGGATGCCAGTACAGCTTGACTTGTGTTGACCAGCATTTATTTCAGCTGTTGTGTTTATGATAGGCTGCTGAGTTTATTGGCCTATTGATTGGGTTCATTTGAATAAATCTGTCCTGTTGGACATATATGTTGGGAATAATGGCTTAGTGAATGCTTGAGTTTAAATGTACATGGATCATAATGTAGGGCAAGCATATCACTGGTACATATAATATGAGCTATTTTTCTGTGGGTTTCAGTATGGAACTGGACTCTTTGTGTCTTAGATTAAATAGGCTATTTGATCGTATATACAGACAGTTTTTCGACGTCTTTTGAGGGTTTGTTAGACTAGACAGTTATGAAATGTTCTGTTTTAATGTTAATGAAATTAGTTGTGATGCACATCCCTAGTAATTACAACCCTGGTTCCAGGAGAGTTGGGATGTTTGGTGAAATGCCATAAAGTCAAGAATCTGATTTGTTCATTCTCTTTAACCTTTATTTAATTGACTAAAGTAGTCACATCACTCATAACCATGCATGATCACTACTGTCATGAGCACTCGGGTCCTGATTGAACACGTGTGTCTTTCTGTTTGTCCCCAACAGATCAAAGCTGCCCGTGATAAACACCTGAAGAAGGTACGACTCGAGATCTTGAGTCTTACTGTTGACGTGAACTGCAGAGTTGTGAGTTTCTTTCACTAGTGTAATCTTCTGTCTTGAACATCTTCAGCAGAAAGCCAAACCCAACTCCTCGGATTCTTCTGAAGCGAACGGGCCGAACTCTTCTCTGGGTGGTGGACACGGCTCTGCTGGAGGCTCCGGCGCGGCGCAGCCCTCGACCCCGAGCCAGGACCAGCGCTCGCATCACCGCGAGAAGCTAGAGCGCTTCAAACGCATGTGTCAGCTCCTGGAGCGAGTGCGCGACTCCAGCTCCTCGTCCTCCTCCAGCTCCGAAAGCGGCTCGGAGTCAGACTCGGACTCTCCATCTCCTGCCGCCGCCTCAGAACCTCCCTCTCCAGCTGCTGTGTACAGTGGCAGCATGCGAGAGCGGAACCGGCGTCTGGCCGAACTGGGCTTCAGTGCCAGTGAGGATTCTGACGGCGAGAGCGCAGCAGCAGACAGAGGAGAGGTGAATGCCCGGGTGCGTAGAGCGGTGGTGGACGCTGAAGCAGATGACGATGAGGACAGAGCAGGGGATCGGGGTCACAGGGTCAGTGCCGCGGACCCGTCCTCACCGCTGTCCGCTACACAGCTGCCGCCCTTCGGACATGGACACTTAGCAGGCCTGTCCTCATCCAAGCGCACTAACGGCCAGGACGCTCGCAACGGCCGCACGCGAGTGGCTGGCAGAGAGCTGCAGGAGAAGGAGAACTCCAGCAGCAGTACTGTCACCAATCACCGGCACACTGCTGTAAAGACTGCTCGTGGTAGCAGAATGCGAGGAGGAAGCCGGCAGGGCCAGAGCATTCCCTCAAGCAAGAGCACAGGTACAGCAGCAGCCGGCTCTGGGACTGCGAACGGAAACAGTGGCACCTCTAACCCGGGGAGCATGTCTCTGGCTCCGCATCGCTCGCAGCTGGTGAAGAGGAGTGCTGTGGCCGTGCCCTCGCCGCCGCGGCCGCTGCAGATGGAGCGACACCTGGTGCGACCCCCGCCGGCCTGCCCCGAGCCACACTGCCTGCCGCTGGACAGCGGAGCCTCACACGTGCTGCCCCGGGACGTCTGGCTCCATGTCTTCCAGCACCTCAGTCAGCCGCAGCTGTGTGTCTGCATGCGTGTGTGCCGCACCTGGAGCCGCTGGTGAGACATCACACCCCTCACAATCACAGCTCACTCTCACACTTACACTGCTTAATAATGCAAAGTATATACTCTGGTAAATTTGAAAGAGGTCAGTTATTGATCACATTAGATGTACTATGAGGGCATTCTCTAAATCCAGCCCTCCTCTTCAGTCCAGAAAGAGCATTTATTAACACTAAACTGCAAAAATGGCACTGGTGGCACTGTAATTCAACAAAACACGAAACTGGTTCAGCTGACTTCAAAAATGGCAAGTAGTTGCTATGATAGCGTATGATGACAGTTGTGAATCTTGGGTAACATTGCGGCAAGGCAAGGTGTCAGAAAGCCCCATGACATTACAGCAGCTCTCTTTAAACACAGCACAAATATTTATCCCTGAAAATACCAGTGGAAATTCCATTATCAGCACAAAATAAGGCTTTTTTTATAATAGTAAGATGGTGTTTTTTGCAGTTATTGGCTGATAGATACGGTGCACCTCTGTGTCAGACGTCTGAAGCGTGTCGTGTGTTTGTGTGCAGGTGCTGTGATAAGAGGTTATGGACTCAGATCGATCTGAGCCGCCAGCGCTCTATAACTCCTCCAATGCTGAGCAGTATAATCCGTCGACAGCCTGTGTCTCTCAACCTGGGTTACACCAACATCTCCAAGAAACAGCTCATGTGGCTCATTAACCGTCTGCAAGGTAGGTCCTGCTCTTGATCCAGAGTGTTAATGTGAAGCGTCGTAAGTGTGTCTGAGCCTGCCGTCAGTACTGTAAGAACAGTCCCAGAGAAAGAGGAGAAGTCTTCAAGAGCACTGATCTACATACAGCTCTGACAACAGTCCCAGGAGAAATCCTCTGGGCAGATGAGTGAAAAAGGGAAGAGTTGTTGTGAGAGAAATCCCAGACTCCAGCTGGTCTGACCGAAGAGATGAAGGAAACAGAATGATTTTAAATGTGTAATTTGATACGCATATTTAGATCAAATGAGCATTCCTGTAGCTCCTACAGTAGCGCAGGGCTCTAGCAATGCCACGGCCAGGGTTTGATTCCCAGGGAATGCATGAACTGATTGTGTGGTCAGTGATGATCTGGTGTCGACCGGTGCTCTGTGCTCCTCAGGGCTGCTGGAGCTGAACGTGGCGGGCTGCTCGTGGTCCTCGGTCTCAGCGCTCTGTCAGTCGGTGTGTCCCTGTCTGCGGCTGCTGGACCTCAGCTGGGTGGAGGATCTGAAAGACTCACATCTGAGGGAGCTGCTGGCCCCGCCGAGCAACGACACACGCTCAGGTCTCTCTCACACACACACGCACACAGAGACACACACACAGAGACTCTCACACACACACACACACACACACACACACAGAGACTCTCTCACACACACACACACTCACTCACACACACACACTCACTCACACACACACACACACACACACACACAC